TTTTTTTTTTATAATGCAGTCTTGATCTGGAAAGAAGGATCCACAAAAACATTCATAGATTTTGCAGTCTTGTAGAAACATTTGGGCTACTTTTATAGAAATATCTCTACGCATTACATACTCTTGCTTCCTTCCAGAGTCTTACAAGAGAGGTCCGCATCGAACTGACCTTTTCGTGTACATAAGTCCTATAACGCTTTGAGCGTTGAACCCCGATGCCACATTTGTTCTCGTTATATGCCCAGCTTCTCTAGAAGCCGAATTATGAGTTTTGGAGCAAAATGGACGCAGTCTAGGTAAAAGAAAACGTTTGGTCTTTTCACCGCTCAAGTGGAGCAGTGTTGGGAAGGATTTTATCAGACAGAAGTTACCAATGCTTTGATGACCAACACTGGATCACTTGAGCAATTCTGAATAAGTTTCTTTTGAATTTTCAAACGAAAATTGAATGCGCAAAATGCAACAATTTTGAATTCTGCGCATTCAATTTTCCAACTCCAGAAACGTTCATAACTCGGCCTCCAGAAGCGTTTGGCAGATAATGAAGACAGATTTGGAATCATCTCTGATTCATTGCTATTCCGAGGGATAGGAGTGAATAGAAAAGAATAAAATAATTCATTTCGTCTAAAAGGACATCCACTGTTAGAAAACGAAGATATATAATCAAGTGTCGTTTGTGTAAATAAGAACAATCCAATCGTTCCATAAATTCCTTTGGTATTACTCACGTATATCCTCTCTTATTTGTCGAATAAGCTCATCCGTATCTGCTTCGACGAGGCTGTCCTTAGTCAAGTGATGGATGATGCCTGCTCCAAAGCCGTCACCCAATACATTTACCGAAGTTCGGATTCGATCACTCAGATATATCAGTAACTTACTGCTAAGGTTGAAGAATTTAGAACTCACAGTAACCAATCGACGGTAAGCAGTAAACTGAGATCTTTTGCTGGAAGACCAACAGTTGTCAGAACAATAACAATGGTATCAAGTCCTGCAGGCACAGAGCCAGATCCGATAGAGGCAACTGTCGTCGTGACGCTATACAACAAATTTGCATATGGACATCATAAGTATGGGGAGGGGGAGACTGAGTTCACCTGATTGTTAACAATTCGAGAAGAGTAAGTTTGACGTTATGGAGTTGAGCAATGAAGATCACAGCAACAGCTTCGTATAAAGCGGTCCCAT